GCTACGCAAAGAAGGATCGGCGAGTGCTTTGCTAAAACCCCCCCCCCCCCCCCCCCCCCCTAACTCCTCATAGAGAATCGTTCAGCAAATTTTGGAAGCAGATTTGAGTTCAGCGTCCCAAGACCTACACGTCGATATACATCTCATCTTCAATGGCCATGGCGACCTGTTGACCTTTCCTGGTAAGTATTTATTTTTCTTTACTGACTGGCTGAAGTCTGTAGGTAACAGATGGATCATTAAGAACATGTATGAACATGTTGAACATGAACAACTATGTGAACACATGAACAACTATGTGAACACATGTTCCTGCACTGGCCATTGGCCGATAATGGGATCAACGGACAACCACTTCCTTTTTTTAAGGAGAAATGTGTGTTCTAGAAGCACACGTAGATCTTTAGCTTATTTCGCTCATGTTACGGAAAGGGTTTCTCCGACCGGCTCGAAAAGTTTTCTTCAGAAAGTCCAGTGCATAAGTACTTCGTGAACTGCGAAGTTTTTAAAAAAAGTCAGTAGTTTCTGAAAGAAAAACTCTTCGCTTCCTTCGGAATTGTCCTTACAAGGAAAGGATGGTTGGTCGAAGAGGCCATTCGAAATGAGATGTATACTGCCCCGTGGGCCCTTGAACGCTGATTACAAGTCTGCCCTCCATTTTTGCTGGACGATTCCCTGGACGACTCCCTTGGCGAGCGTTTTTATGCCAAGCAAGTGTGATATTCGTGTTCTGGGGCTCAAATTAGCCCTAGAGGCAAGTTTTCAACCAAATCTGAGATTTCGACCTATTTTCGATACAGTGGGGTAACCACGGGCAACATTCTTAGAGCCGCTGGCACTATCGCCGATCAAAATCTCTGTGAGCCATGCAACTTATCCGCTTAATCTCAGTCCTTGGTTACTGCGGCCCTGATGACAAGCATGACATTCACTTTTGGACTCCATGCCATTTGGAATCATTTTGGTGGCACAACACAACGTAACGAATAATGCCGCCGAAACCAACAATCAAGGGTACCCTTCAGGAATGTTCCAGAATGGTTCCATTCCTTCAGAAACAATATTTTGGTTAGATCAAGTCAAAAGTGCTTTTAGGATGTGCAGGGAGCATTTTTGAGAAAATGCAAAACCACAACTCCAGGAAGGACCCGAACCCTTTTGAATTTGAAACGCCTATTCAATATGCATTCCCTCCAAATGCCGTAGAACCCTGTAACACAGCAGAGTGCAAGGAAATTTTTTTATCCGGTGTTCCCATTGCGAGAAACTTTTTTGCTTCCAACACTTTGTTCTGGATTATCACATTTGCTCTTGAATCACAAAACTCTTTTGTACCCACTATATGAGCAAAATAGTTAGAAGTATTCACAGGCCAGAATGGTTCAGTTTTCCAAGAAAAGCCATGACAAGGCATGACAAGGTTCCCTGATCATGCTAGGCTGTGTTAGAAACTTCCAGAGAGCACTGCTGAAACAATGCAAAAGAGCACGTCCATCAAGGATTCGAACCTCTCACCTCGTAAACTTGAGCCCGGCATACTACCTACTAGGCCATCGAGGCACATCGTGTGGCAACGCACGTCTGATTTATGTACCAAGCTCAGTTGTGCTCCGTACAACAACCTCCTGCATATCTCTGCTCATAGAATCGTTCAGCAGATATGGAAAGCAGATTTGAAATCAGCGTCCGAAGACGCATCAGAGAGTATACATCTTGTCTTAAATGTGCCACTTCGACCAACCATCCTTTCCTTTGTGAGCATACACAACATTTGAAGCGGCATCTTAAGAATCACCCTATAATATGTAGCTTCGCTTTGTGACAATGTTGCTTTGCTGAGTTGGTAAGTTTGTTTGCTCCGTCTTGGAAATTCTGCTTCTGACCTGAACTAAGAAACGACATGCGCAGAAGTCGCGGTCAAGGTGGGGCAGCGCGGGTAGGGCATGCGACGAGAAATAAAAAGTGCACACTGACCTACGGGAAGCCCACAGTGGGCGGGGGCATTCGCCCGAAAGTTCGGCGGGTTCCGCTCAGAATATGTTCATCCGAAGCCAGCTCAAAGCATGGGCGGAAAGTAGAATGAGCCGTTAGGAAGAAGTGCAGACTAACTGTGGGCAGACGCAGCCAAAATGAGCGGGGCGTACTCAAGGTGTGGCCGCGGCGCTTCTCACAAATCTGAGTAACCCGCGTTCGCAGCAGTGTTTAGAAGTCGCAAAAAACTCAATGCATTAATGTAAAAAATATTATGCGCGAGTCGTTGGCACGCTCAAGATGTTGAAAAAAAGGAAAAAAGCCCGCTACAGTGGCCGTGGAAGTTTTGCCCTTAAATCGCAGGATACTCATTTTAGTAAGTTTGTTAGCTCAGTTCTAGAGCACTGGCAGACACCGGAAGAAGACGTGGCATTAAGGTCAGCACAGGTCGCCCATCGAAGAACATGTGGGGCATAAATTGTTGTGGACCGGGGCCAGCCCCGAAGGGTGGGGCGGAACCAGACAAAAAATCTGCCCAAAACGCCCGTTTCCAGCAGCGGCTCCAAGACACCGTCATCATGTAGGCAGGGATGTACAGGACCTCAACGTTTGGATATATGGCAAGAGTTGAGTGTGTCTTCAGTGTGCTGTAACCCGCTCCTAGTGGGTGGAGCGACGACGTCCTTATTCTTGCTGAGTTTTAGCGCGTATTTTGTCATACTGTTACCACCGGTCGTCATAGGTATTAGATTCCAGTCGGCTCGGCGGCCGATGCCAGCGCTCTTCCTCCTGTGATACGGTCCAAGTTGGCCGGACGGGCAAGGCTTCGCCACACATTCCTTCCCCAGCTATTCTCTCGCCTGTGCCCATAATCGACGCACTTTAGTACCACTCCCTACTTAGTAATAGTCAAAATAGCAGGGATGATGTATTTGTTGGAAGCTTTAACCATGAGTACAGAACAAAAGCCTGATATCAGTTGAGTCTAGAAATATGTGAAAGAAGGTACGCGCGGCGAAGCCGCGCCCGTCCGGCGCAGCCGGGCGTATCAGAAGGAGGCGCGCCGGTGTCAGCCGGCGAGCTGACTTGTTATTTATGTAGAGAAAAACATCAACACAAATCGTTAGCGTTTGTCTTTGCTTGAGCATGTTTACAGGTTACTACTGCAACATTTTATGTGCTGCAAAATAAGAACCGAAGATGTTGGCGAGGGCTAGAAGTGCAATATCCTCAGAGGCCGCGCATTACCACAAAACATGACAATAAAAGGCGGTTCCACTCTTTAGTTTAATACAAGCAGAACGCAGTTTCCCCAAGCGGATAATATTTGTGGTTTGCTTATAGTTTAAAGTCCGAATAGAAGGTGATGAAGACAGAGGCTAGAAATGAAGAACAACGAATATAGATGTAAATAAAACAAATATGAAACAATTAAGGAAACGCAAATTAATCAAAACCGCAGGTAAACTTCTAAGATCCGGCGCGAATTTAGCTTCAAGACCGTAGAAATACTTTAAACTAACCAGTGCGACGCCTAGACCATTTTATTTTCATGTTTCGTGAAAATGCGCGGCCTCCGAGGGATACTGCAGAAGTAGCACAGTTGCTCTTGAGCTCTGGCCCTCGTCATCATCTTCGCTCTTATTTTGCAGCACCTAAAAGTTATCCGCATCAGGAAATTGCGCTTTACTTGTATTCGACGCAATTACAGGACTTGGCTTTTTGCCAAGTCCTGTAATTGCGTGACACGCGCCGCGCGGACGGCTGTTAGCATAAAGTAGAGTAGAGTTTGCGACGCATGTTGCATTTCGTGCGGTGTAGCAAGGAATTAGACTTTCCCACGATCCCGCACTCTGAGCCCGTGCAGTTTCGGGCGGGGAAACTACGACACATCGACAGCTGGGGGGCTCATAGTCTCATGCACCCTCAATGTGTTTGAGCGTACCATGTGTGTTTACCACTCGACTTTGTACTTGCATCGAAACTGGCAAGAAGTCAGCGCAGCAATCAAGCGAAGTCATGGCGCAGGCAGTCTTCAAAAGATTTTAGGTGATCCCATGGTTTTGTACATTATTCCTACAGTATCTTACCGTACATCGTCCGACCAAATGTGTACTAGTAGCAGCATTGCATGACGCGAGGAAACGAGTGTAGGGAGTCAGAGACGGCAGGATATAGCTTAGCTCACATAAAACGAGCAGGTCTGGAGAACTCGTCCAGAGAGGCTGTGTTGTTCCTGATACAAACGTGACTGCAATGCAAACTGCCACGCCAGGTACCCAAGAACTTTTCGAAGTCAACAACAGAGCACAACAAAGAAGAAATCTTCATTTAGTCGGAGGTGTTAACAAATACACAACAATGCACAACAAATGGTCGAAGAGCGGGCTGTCGTCAAGGTGAACTCCCGGTCCGCCGGCTGCAGCGGTCACCGCCGGTACATGATGAAGACTGATTGGGGGTGCGTGCAAGCCTCGGGACGAGACGCGGGGCTGTTTTAACGATTTGCACGGGGAAGGCATTGATTGTGCTGACTACTTTTGTGCTGATTTGCACTTAATGTAGCGAAATCGGATACTTACTGGCATCTGGGCGCGGTTTCCTATCAGCAGATTGTGACGACCGGAAAGCAGGGCACGCCATTGTTGTGATAATCACAACAGGGGGGGGGGTCGTTTTTGACCGCGAGGAGGGGGGATGCCTTAAGCGCAGGGCCCTTTCTAGTGCGAAGTGCAGCGATACGATGTCCTACAGCTTCACTGATGAGAGACTTATTGATGTGAAGAACATCTGAAGAGACACCTAAAGACAGAAGCGCAGTAGTGGGGAATGGCAATCACAGGAAATACGACAGCCGCCCACAAAGACGTCGAATTAAAAAACAGGTGTAAGTACACTTTGAAACCTTTCTAATAGCAGGAGCACATCTGCTTGCACGGAGGAGCCCTATTTAGAAGCTGCACCTTCCCAACACCTCTGCGTGAGAGCCCTGTGCATGCGCATTACAGAGGGGATGCAGATCGGCGCTGAATGAACTTCAGTGCGTATCACAAGTATAGGCACACCCCCAAAAACGTCCAACGTCGATTTTGAACAGACTCCCATGGAAACATTTTGATACTGGTAACCGAGAAGGCTACGAAAACCGTAATTTACAACTTCATCTGTTAATGTTGCATGGATGGCCGCATTGTCCTGTTGGAAGACAAACTCTCCTCTATCGTGACTAGCGAAAAATGGCAGCAGGTGTCGCCCAAGCATGTCCTGGTAGTCTACTGAGTTCATTGTCGTGGAAATGAAGGCTAGTTCGAGCTTGCCGCCTCGGTGGAATCCTCCCCAAACCATAACACTGCCTCTGCCAAAATTACGCTTGCTGAAAAATTTCTGCTCCTTGCGAAGATCCCTCCAGTAATAAGCGTACCCGTCTGGACCGTCCAGGTTAAATTCCTTCTCATCGGAGAATACCACCTAGACAGAAAATTTCGTCGTTGGACTAGGCTTAGAAAATGCCCCCACCTTTGCCCAATTTGTTGCCGTGTTCATTCTGGCAAACTGGAGCCGAGCCTCTTTGTAAGAGTCGGTAAGTTGGGGAGCTGGACGAAGATGGCATCGCGCAATGTTGGTGTTGCGTTTGATCGCCCTCCATACCGTCATTTCGGAAACGGCAGTCGGTAAGCTAGCACGAACGTCGTTGACGCTGATCGTCGAGTTGGAGACAAGCCGTCCAATCTGGCGTTCGTCTTGTGCTTTGAGCTTCTTAGGCCTACCAGATCTTTTCTTCCTCCATAGGATTCCGGTGCACGCAGATACCGACTGGCAAGCGAAGGCGAACGGAGCAGCTGGCGAGCGATCTCACGATTGCTCAGACCTGCTGCGTGCAGGGCACTAATCTGAGTCTGCTCATCGTCGGATGGATGAGATTCTCATGTCATTTGGTGATTGAAAACGATTAACTAACTAACCAGCTAACTTTTGTGAAACAGTAACTTTTTGCAGAAAAGATTTTTTTCTGCTAAATTTTCAAAGTGTGTCTATACTTATGATACAGCCCTATTCGAAGCTTATTGATAAAAAACCTCCCGATTTCTTCCAGTTTGCGTGAAAAACGGTCAAAAGGTTATCGAGATATGCTGAACTCTATAACAATTGGACTTGTTTCTATAAGTCCTACGGAGTACCACAAAAAGCCAAGAGAGCTGCACGCGACCGCGCCGCGCGAACATTGTTAGTATAAACGTGAGTTTGCAAAAACGGGCGGCGTAGCAAGGAATTACGACTTTCCCACGGTCCCGTACTCTGACCCCGTGCAGTTCTGGGCGGGGGGACCACGACACATCGACAGCTGAGGCTGATAGTCTCATACATCCTATGTGTTTGAGCGTACCATGTGTCATTAATTGAAAGCCGGTCCTGTGATATTCAATCACTAGTATTATTGGGAAGCACGCGAGCGTTGCGTACTGTGCCGATACCACGATCTTTAACGATGTTGGATAACGACTACTGGGAGGGAGGAGGGGACTGATAGCCACTAGCTGGAGACATGGTCAGGCACCATAACACAAAAAGCTCGGAAAAATTTTTTTGGCGCAACTCTACTGGTAGGGGTAGTTGATGGTCCTGATCACGGTTCTGATACTTACTCTGGGCGCGGAGGCCATCTGAGGCCAGTATGGCGCTAGGCCCCGCCGCGCAGGTTGACAACGGTGTTAGTACGAGAAAGCCTTTACCCCAAACTGGTGACACATTGCGCCATATTCAAAAATGAGTGTCATATTCGTGATCAGGGCATATGATAACCGCCGTACCCCAAGTTTCAGGGAGAGTTTCTCCGATAGTATTTCGCGAGAGTAATAGTTGAGTGAAGCCCCTTTGTGAACCATTCCCGCATAGATTGTGCCCTTAAATGGTGTATATCCGGGTCATACACATCATGGGGCACACAGGAATACAAGAAGGAAGAAATCTGAAAAATGCAAAAAATATGCCGTCAAGATTATGCGGTCCACAAACCGATCGATTGAAGGTTCGTCGCGGTATCCACTACACCACCGGCCACTGCGACCGGAGAGATGCTAGACCTGTTGAAGAGACATGACGTGGCAAAAATAATGACCTTTTCGAAGCAAATATTTCAAAATATCATAAATCGCTTCAAAGTGTTGCTTTTCAGTCAAAATAACGACTAAATTCAACTCATTTCTGCCATCGAGAAGGCAGTTTAGATACTTCGGCGGCATAAAATTCTGGGGTTTTGGAATCAATCGTCGAATGCCTTTTCTGCGTCGTCTTGGTTTCGGAAGCATTTCTCGCGTAAGAAAATTTCGAAATGCTTGAAAAAGTGATAATCCGTAGGGGGAAGGTCTGGTGAGTATGGAGGATGGTCGAGAGTTTCATATCCCAACTCCATCAGTTTTTTTTGCTGCCATCAATGAAACATGCGGTCGGGCGTTTACATATAGTAGGATCGCGCCTTTTCTGTTCATTATTGCCGGCTGTATGCGCTTTTTGGTGCATTTTTCGATTTCCTCACAGTACGTCTCCTCTGTGATGGTTTCTCCTGGAGCCAGGAAGCTGTGGTGGATCAAACCGGCTGTAGACCACCAACCAGTCACTATGACCTTTTTTTGGTACAACTCCGGCTTGCGGAAATGTTTATGAGCTCGTCGTGATCCAACCACTGTCCTGACCGTCGTCTATTGTCGTATTGAATCCATTTTTCGTCACACGTCACAGTGCGTTGCAGAAAAAGATCGTTTTTGTTCCGCAAAAGATGAGACGAACAGATTTCGAGACCACGACATTTTTGGTGCTCAGTCAGCTCATGCGGGACCCACTTGTCAAGTTTTTTTACCTTCTCAGTTTTCTTCAAATGACGTGCTACAGTTCCGAAGTCAACTCCCAGCTCTTCAGCAATTTCCCTTGTGGATGCTCTTGGGTTGGCTTCTATCTGTGCCTTCATTTCGTCTTACTTCCGGTGGCCGACTACGTCCCTCTTGATCTTCCAAGCTGAAGTCTCCATTTCGGAATTTGTCGAACCACCTACGTGTGGTACGCTCATTTGTAGTAGCTTCCCTCATGCGTTTGTGATATTCCTAGCTGCTCTCGCAGCATAGGCGGAGTTTGGAAGCATGATGAGACGGATTTCTTGACAACATATTCGCGGGTGACCCAAGCGCGTAGAAGAAATGGTGGCAGAGAAACGGGAAAAATTTGCATGATAACTTGGAAAATGTGCGATATATTAAATTACTATTTTTGCCTAAGTTTTCAATGAATTATGATCAGTGGAACAAAGCAGGTGTGACCTTATTTTGCGTTGTTTTTTATCCTGCTCAAAGAACACCTCACATACTATACACTTTCAACGCTAGCTAGAACGGAGGCGAATAAGGTGGTTACAATAGCCCATTCTTTTCGAATAATTTCCGACCTTTTTTGGCATTCCCAGGACCGTTTAGCTAAAATGAACCCCATCTGTGTGGTCGTTGCATGGATCCCTACAATATGCAACGAACTGTTTTGAAAAAGCAAGGTAATAAAATGAAATAGCTAGGTAATAAAATGCGGGTAATACGAACAGCATAAGCTCTGAACTCCGTTGTCACATGCCTGCGCGCTGCAAAGCCGGCACAGTATGTTCGCACTCGGACTAGTCCATTTCCTGGAAGAAAGATTTATTTCGCTCAGCCATGGCTGGAGTGCTGACCTTCTTGCTGATCTGATTTGAAGGGAACTGCAGTATTTCTTTTTCAAGGTTGGTGCGCGCCTACTTGGCAGATGAACCGTTCAAACAGTTTCTCGATTCATTGCTGTTCTATCGTTATCTGCAGTGGAAATGGTTGGAGAAAAGGCCAATAGACAAGCATACGTTCAGATTGTACAGAGTACTCGGTAAAGGAGGATTCGGTGAAGTGTGCGCATGCCAAGTGAGTGATATTTTCATTTTCCTTATAAATTCATTAATTTCACTCCCTTGAAACGATTTCAATTCCATTGCTGCATATATAGTCATAATCCCTGCCAACGACAGATCCTCTTGAATGATCGTGAGTTGGAGCGCAGCCATGATAGTCTTTCCCGTCAATTATTGGGGGCTCAGGATGGCGTCATCGATGGAATAGCCACCTTAGCAACACGTCAATCCATGCCTCGTCACGCACTCGTCTACTGCAGGGATCATGACTACACATGTGCAGCATAATCAAATCAGAGAATAATCATGGTTGCTCGCACTCATTCATAGGTAATAGTTTTAACAAAGCAGATTTTACACTCCTTCTTTGCGTTAGACTCCACACACGCACATTTGCGAACAATTCCAATAATGCGAAAACTGTCGATGTCGAGAAGTAACGGCGCATGCTACCTACCCTACCGAGCACCCCCGCAACGATGCGGGCTTTCAGAGGAGAGAGAGAGAGATATCATCCGTCCCTACTTACCTCTGCCTGATTAGGTCTTACATCGTTCTCGTATAGTCTCTCTAAGTCAAGTATTATACCGCCCAGGAGAGAAGCGCTTCTAGGTAAATTACTATCGCCGCAGTGGAATTCTTAATTCCAAATTTCGTATGTGAGAATGCTCCATTATCCCGATTTTTAACACTATCCATCGCGTTTCCGCTGGGAAATTGGAAGCTCGTGAGTACTTCCCTCAAGGTAGGTTCAAGCACGACATGCAAAAATTGGGTCGTGCCCCCCCCCACTTTAACTAAACAATAGGTTGAAATTTTGAAGGAGCATTTTGTAATCACGCTCTCTGCAGCAGTGTCTTGTGTTGAAGTACGGGCGCCTAATATTATTCCGCCTAGTATCGCCCGGCTTCATCCAGCGGTCCTACTTCGTGTGCAGCGGATCTCCCCACTCGTTATACACGTCGTTTTCAGTAGAGAGCCAGGCGAACCGCCCGGTTTTGCCGGGCAACCTTGCTCTTTGTGTGCGGTGGGTCTTCCCCCAATCAATCAATCTTCATTCTTAACAGGCAGATATTTGAGATTTTCTCCTTCTACTGAGGGCATGTCTCCCACGTTTCATATGCTCACTTAGTTCCTATCATTTCCTTTTTTCCGCTCTATGAGCTACTCTAGAACCGGAGTAGGACGGTTTGATTTCAGCTCAACACACTGAGGGTACGTCTGTCTCACTCATCACTTACCCGTTTCTCATTCTCCCTCACTGTCCAGCTGTTGCCAAAGCGAGTTCCACCCTCACAGGTTTCCACCCACAACATTCTTCTAGCCCATTTTTTATTTTTTTCCAGATTTCCCGCTCTACCTGCCGATCTCGAACCGAACTACAAATTTTTGGAATGGGCTCTCCTACATAGGCGCAATTTTCGTCCATCGCGGATCTCGTTCTATATTTTACCACGCCAGTCCATTTCCTGTCGTTCCCACATCTTCTCTCCAGCTGTTTTGGAACCATATTACAAATTTTTGAAATAGCAGGTTGTATTTTAGGAGCACGCTCCTTATACTGTAGGCGGGTCTCCGCACGTCATACCCACCTACTAACCGCAAATGCTTCTTTACTCCAGCAATTTTTCTCTGTATCCAAACTTTGAGAGCCGAGTTGTGAATTTTTGTAGCAAGCGCCGCCCATTCAGAGCGCGTCCGACCCAATGCCGGTGGTCTATCATCTCATTCTTCTGCTGATTTCCTGTCGTTTCCACCTTACCTGCTCTCCGGGCTTTTCTGGAACCGTATTTTTGATAAAAGGTGGGACCTAGCCTCCTTTATGTATTCCGTACATGTTGGTGCGCGTTGAGCGTTGGTTTATTTAGTCATGTTTCTGATGTTGTTAATGACTAATGACAGTGAATTGTTGAAAGCAATCATGTAGATGCTATCACGGTTTCAGCTTCAAACAAACGCGGTGAACTGAATTGTTGAAAGTGGTTTCAGCTTCAAACAAACGCGGTGATCTTTTTACGTAGCCAATTTTCGACATTTTAATGACTACAACTTCACTCAAACATATCTGGAGCGGAAACCCATGCAGATTTGGAAACATGATGAATCTCAGTTTTCAACCATGGTACTTTGCTGTGATTCCATTGAAAACTCGCCCGTCGCGCAAAATGGTCTAGTTGCCGCAGAAAATTTTTTTCAACTGCACAAAGTTGGATTTCCCCGAGCATCGTCCACATACCCCACTTGTGAGTTTAGGAATACAAGCAGTTGGAGTTGATTCCACACCGTTCGGGATGAGCTGCAAACTCGAATTCTACACAGAATGCAGGGGCATTCAAAGACGTGTTGGGCTAAACAATTATGATTGTGAGCCAGTTAATGCTGATCCTTCTCGTTTTGAGATAAATTAGTAGTGTATGACTATGGCATAGTTTTACTTACACTATATCAATTTCTCATAATTTCCTTTGGGACCATCCAGCGGAAAAAGCTGCTCTGGCGAGGTACAGAAGTGGGAGTGTTTTTTCGGAGCCCTCGACAATTCTCTTTTTCTTCTTTTCTTCATAATTGCAGGCACAACAAATACAAATAGTGGACCTGTTCCCTTTCGTTCGTGCGGCAGCCAAATATGGCTGCTATTCGCAGCTAGTCTTGATAAGTGTGAAAGTTGACAAAGACAAACTTTGGTAGACTGAGTAAGCCGAGAATGGAGAGAATATCTGGTAATCAAAAAATTAATCACGTTTCTTGGATTTTCTTGAACTGTCAATCCTGCTGTCTAAGCACCGTACTCCTTCCCTCCCTCCCTTCCCCCCCCCCCGACCCCTCACCAACTCCGTGACGCCCATTTGACTCCGCAGAGCACGATGGAATTCTTCATCGGCACAGCTCTGAACTGATAACGCAGCAGTGCTGTCGCTTGAAAGTTGGATTATAAATTGAATAACGCAGCATATCGGCGGCTCGTCCGCCGATTTTCCGAAAAAGTGCCTGCCCTATCAACCTGATGGTAGTCTATTAGTCTACCATGGTTATTACGGGTAACGGAGAAGGGTTCGACTCCGGAGAGGGAGCTTAGAAACGGCTACCACATCCAAGGAAGGCAGCAGGCGCGGAAACTTATCCAATCTTGAAGAGATGAGATAGTGACTAAAAATTAAAAATGGCCATTCCTATGGAAGGATCATTTCAATCAGGATCATGGATGATCAACAATCAGTCTAGTGATGAAGTGTTAGGCACAGTCTGGTGCCAGCAGCCGCGGTAATTCCAGCTCCACAGCTGTAAATCGTCATTGCTGCGGTTAAAAACCTCGTAGTTGGATCTGAGTTACACGTGATTCCCTCCGGTTGGGCGCATCGCTGTATTGTGTACTTTTGCTGCGACGCGACAGCGGGCCGGGCTCTTCATGCGTACTTCTTCCTCTCTGCGCTCTGCCGCGCAATGGCCGGCTCGCCGCAATCAGCTGATCGCGTATTATTTTTTATTCAAGCCTTTATTCTGCTTCCTAACGCCAGAAAAGGAGGTAAGTTATGATTATTTATCTCTAATTTAGGTTCTATAAATATTTCTCTTTATGTCGCTATTTAGACTGTTTAGATGGTTGGCTTTCGTCTATTTTTTTGATTTGGTTAGGTGCCAGCTTTTCCATGACAATGTCGTGATGTCTCCTTGTAAGCTTGGTCCAACATTCATAAGAAGGACACCTAAACAAAATCAAGAAAAATAGACGAAAACACCACTAAAAACAGTCTATAATAGCCACATTAAAGCGCCAATAGTTTATAGAACCTAAAGTTAGAGCAAATAATACTAACTTACCTCACTTGTCTGGCGTTCAGGAGGCAGAATAACAGCTTGAATAAAAAATAAATAGCGGCGATCAGCTGATTGCGCGAGCCGGCTATTGCGGGGCAGAGCGCAGAGAGGAAGAGTACGCTGAGAGGCCCGGCCGCTGTCGCGTCCCAGCAAAAGTACGCAATTACGGCTGGCCAATCGGAGGGATCACGACTGTACACACAGTGATTCGCCTTTGGCGTCAATCGCTGTTGTGACTATTTGCTGGTTTTTTGCACAGGTTTCGTCATTTGCAATGTCTAGCGAGTTTACGCTGAATAAATTAGAGTGCTCAGAACAAGCGTTTGCTTGAATGTTTGATCATGGAATAATAAAAGGGGACTTCGGTTCTACTTATTGGTTCAGGAACTGAAATAATGGTTAAGAGGCACAACTCGGGGGCATTCGTATCCCTGCACGAGAGGTGAAATTCGTGGATCGCAGGGAGACGCCTTATAGCGAAAGCATTTGCCAAGAATGTCTTCATTAATCAAGAACGAAAGTCAGAGGTTCGAAGGCGATTAGATACCGCCCTAGTTCTGACCGTAAACTATGAGATCCAGCGATCTGATGGGGGCGTGGTTGCGGTGGTCGAGCAGCTTCCCGGAAACGAAAGTCTTCCGGTTCATGGGGTAGTGTGGCTGCAAAGCTGAAACTTGAAGAAACTGACGGAATGGCACGAGCAGGAGTGGAGCCTGCGGCTTAATTTGATTCAACACGGAAAACTCACTCGGCACCGTGAGGATTGGCAGATTGAAAGCTCTTTCTCGATTTGGTGGTTGGTGGTGCATGGCCGTTCGGTGGTTGCTGGAGCGATTTGTCTGGTTTATTCCGAGAACGAGCGAGACTCTAGCCTGCTAAATAGTGTGGATATCTAAGTCCAGTCTACTTTTGAGAGGGATAAGCGGGTTTAGCTGGACGAGATTAAGCGGTCTGTGATGCCCTTAGATGTCCAGGCGCACGCTACAATGGAAGAATCAGCTTGCCTATCCATTGTCGAAAGGCATTGGTAAACCGTTGAGACTCGGTTCCGTGACCGGGCAGTGGCAGTCTACAAAGTGGGCGGAGTTCCCCGCAAGGGGTGGGGCTTGACCTTAGTGGGCGGAGCTCGATGAGAGAATTATTAAAAAAGTTGAAATTTTTCGAAAGGGATTTTTGAAAAGCAGGCGGGGTTTGACCTTAGGGGCGGAGCTTGTATATAATTATTAGCTCTTTAAGTGAAATAGTATAGTAAGTCATAAGAATCTTGTTCTTCAGATTTTTTTGACTTTCTCAACATTTTATGTCGTCAAAAAATCTTTAAATCTCTAGAAGTGGGCGTGGCCAAGGAGGCGGAGCATAAGTGGAATATTCAAAAAGGCACAATTTTTGTGCAAATCACATCTGTCAAAGAGTCACTAAATTCGGATGTTGCGGAATAAAGTTATAAAGTGGCGAAATTTTCACTAAATCTATTAATAAGTGGGCGGAGTCCTCGAGGGCGGAGTCGAATGTACTATATAGTTAGCGCGTTATCAAGGGTCTATCTGTCAATATACTATAAAACTGTGAATAACTCTTATAACATCTATATATAGTGTAAAATGTGTAACATACATGTAAACTGTGTCACGACAAAAAGGGACGGAGTTATCTGGGGTTGCCCATGTTCGATTAGAGATTTCCAGTAGGCTTCCGGCCGACTGCCCCAATGATTAATTCCCCAAGCTCACGAACATTGTGGAATTGTGCATTGCTGTCATGGATCATACGCACCATAAAGCCCCTCACATCCTCGATTGGGTTGTAATCGGGGCTTCTCGCTGGCCAGGGCAGAGGAGCGGTTTTTTGAGGACCCAATCACGCTTGAGTGCTTCGACTGTCATGAACTGGCGCATTATCTTGCTTGAAAACAAGTTTTTCTTGCTGATTTCTACACCAGAAGGCAAGGAGACGTCGCATGACTTTCAGATGACGGGGGGAAATCAATTCTTTTTTCATACGGAGCACAGTTGCAGACGTTCCATTGATGCGATGGTAGGTCAGACCATGAGACCACATCCACTGAAGTTCCGCCTGAAAAATTAAAGTTGTCTTCCGTCAGGTCGTGCCAGCGGAATTGGTTTTCGTCTGAGCCGTCGCAGTTGAATTTTTTCTCGTTAGAAAACACGACCGCGAGGAAAAAACTGAGAAAAAACAACACATGCAGTAGGGCTTAGAGACAAAAGCTAACTTCACTCCAATCGGTTAGACAACATCTTTGAGGAAAGCCAGTTAGGTTTTCACGATGGTTTTTTCTTAAAAACAGTGCCTAAATCATATTCTTCCTGTGGGAGAACTCAACTAAAGATGATGACGAGGGCTAGAACTCAATAGCGACTCTGCTGCTTCTGCAACAGCCCTCGCAGGCCGCGCATTCCCCACAAAACGTCAAAATAAAAACAGCCTGAGCGTGCACTCGCTAGTTTGAAGTATTTCTGTGGCATTAGAGCCAGATGAGCCGGATCGCAGAAATGCACACGCGATTTTAATTATTGCGTTTCCTTAGTTTTTCTTTTCTAATTTTTGTTTTATTTACATTCTGTCTATTTCGTTGTTCTTTCTATTTTTAGCCTTTTGTATCTCCATCACCTTCTATTCGGACTTTGAAGCATGAGCAATACCTCAAATGTTAGGAAATGGCGTTTGCTTTGTATTGTCGTGTTTTATTTGTCATGTTGTCGCGTTTTTATTGTCATTGTTCTGTATGAATGCGCGGCCTCTGAGGGATATTGCAGAAGTACCACTTGCTCTTGAGTTCTAGCCCTCGTCATCATCTTCGGTTCTCATTTTGCAGCACCTAAAATGTTATCCGCACAAAGAAGTTGCGTTGTGCATTTATTCCATAGCGCAATACAGGACTGGACAAAAAGCCAAGAGAGCTGCACGCGACTGCGCCGTGCGAATGGTGTTAGCATAAACGTGAGGGCGGTGTAGCAAGGAATTACGACTTTCCCACGGTCAGGTACTCTGACCTTGTGCAGGTTTTGGCGGGGGGACCACGACACATCAACAGCTGGGGGGCTGATAGTCTCATACACCCTCAATGTGTGTGAGCGTACCATGTGTATGCTTCATACTGTTTACTCTGTGTGTTCTTAGCACTGGCGCTGGCAAAAACTCGCTTCCAGCTTCAGAGACCTCATGGAAGACCAGTGGAGATAGTTGAAAACTGGCACAAAAATGGGAAGGTGGATGTTGTAGAAACATTAGAATATCCTCTAAGAGGAAGTCTGAGAGGGAGATGTATCGGTTATCCAAGGAATTCAACTCACCGCAAAACTGTGGATAGTTAACGCTCTAAAGAAACTTTCTGGGACTATTTAATAAATCTGCCGAATTGTTTAGAAAATTGTTCAGAAGTGTGAAAGTAGGAACCACTTTTGTGACAGTTTAACCTCTGAACAGTTACAAGTTCTTAAGAATCAGATGGTGTCAGCAGATATTCGGAATATTTGCGATCGATTTAGTCAGAAACCACTCTGACCAAATTTCCTCAGGAATTCGCTAAACCCGTGTTGGTGTCGAGCACGGCTCAGTGCTGTTAAACACTTGAGGTCTTCACGGGGCTTTTCAAGAACGCGATTTCTGTCAAGGCATATATCGAAAACAGAGTCGTCCGCGCTGTCAACAGCATGGCCCAAAAAATAGGTATATCAATCCGACTCCATTATGGAGGCCACAGGGATGGCCATTTGTCGTTGATATAACAGAGCGATACAGACAGAGCTACTCGTTGAAAAGTTCTCGAAGACCAAGACAGATGCTGGAAATGTTCCTCAAATCTTGACAGCTTTAATTGTCAAAAACAACAGTATACAGTGCGGGCAAAAAGG